TTCGTCCGTGAAGGCGTCACAGTCACTGAAGGCGTCACAGCTGGGACTTGTCGATGTGTCACAGTCGTCACTGGACGAAGCGTCACAGCCGTCACTGCACGAGACGTCACAGCTACCACTGGACGATGTGAGCATGCAGAAGTACATGAACGACTTGAATGAGGCAGCAGAGGAAATGCAAGAGGCTTTCTCCTCAGAATCGAGCGTGCTTCAAAATTTTCAACTACACTTCTCACCGTCGCTTGAGGATGGTCAAAGTCTCCCGGGATACCCTCTGGCGTTTATCAGAGACCACGTTGCCAAGATGCAAGAGTGCGAAATTCCATCTGCTTCTTCTCTGCAGGCACGGCTGGACTTCGCCCAACACCTGCAGCTATTACGGAGCATTTGCCGCACAGTGGCTCTTCGCTTCAAGGAGTTGGAATTGTTCAACACTGTGGATCAGGATTTAGGCGTGGCGAATCCTTTTCTTGTTTCCGACCACGGCGAGGATTATAGTGACAGTGAAGCTCCTATAGACTTTCGAGCAATGGCAAAATACGACTGGGAAGCTTCTACCTTTCTGAAATCCTTCGGGCTGTTTGGGGGTGGTAGAACACGAGTAAATGGAACCTTAGCTGACAAACTCAGATGGATATTGGAGATTGAGAAGAAATTTAACGACGCCAACTTGAACGCCCGATATTATTTCATGGAGTTTCTTCAACCGTTTGAAGGCGACGGCGCTTTCAACCCCGCTCATGCCCCTGCTGAACACCAGATTCCATACACTGGAAAGACATTTCGAACGGGATCTCTTGCACAAGCAGCTGCGCAGATATTCAGTGAATCCGATACCACTACGAATTACGCATACATACGAAAGCTGAACCGAATTGCAGATAATTGGACGAACGAAGACGTAGCCGTATCTGTGAAGCAGCAAGAGAAGGAAAATGTGGACAGTGTTCAAACCAGGCTGAAGACTAAGAGGGAGCTTATGCGACGGCTGCTAAGCCAAGGCATACCAGAGGATGATCTGGTGATGATTGCATTGTTCCTTTTATAACCTACTAGCTGATTACTTTTGTGCGTTCTGCCAGGTGACACCACTTTTCGTGCGGGAGGGGTCTCCGCATCCGTGTTGTCGGGGCTCGTTACAGTTGCTGCTGTAGCTAGAAAGTTAAGCGCAGTCTTGCATTTCGCCCGATTTTTTGTGGGATCTCCGCCTAGAAGGAAGGGCGCACCCAACTATCAGTGAGGCAAGACTTCCTTTTGGCCTCATGACAAGTCAGATCGCAGAACGGGAATAAAACCCTGTTTCCGAGGAAAGCGAACCCACCGCAGTTTCCGCATATCCTTCGTCAGAGAGAATTTGTTTGCGCTGCGCCGGACTGTACTGTGGATGATCCAGCGAATCCAGGTGCAGGAATAACGGCGTAGAACGCTGTAGTACTGCGCAAATTGTATTTGGAAACTAAATTTACAGAGAGTTTATTCACTGTCGAGACGTCAGTGGGTGTTAGAGTGTTCTGTTGATGCTAGCATCAGATATGTTCGGACAATACTGCAGAAAAAACATACCGCACCATGTGGTGGAGGAATTCAAGGGGTACCTAAACGGCAGTAGGTCCCCGAAGCTTCAAGAAATTACCTTCACTCGTGTATTTGGACTTCACGCCGATCCGCCTGATCGATTTGTGGCATATCCTACGGGGTGTTGCCCGTCACGCTTTCTCTACTGTGTTCATATATCAGGCTGTGGTGACTACAGCCGCCCCAAGTGAGGACGCTTCTGCGACCAATAACATTTCTTTATATCCTAATATATTAAATGTATAATTAAGTATTTTTACTTTATTAAAATCAAAAATATCATTTTCTAATAAATAAGAATTACCACTAATTTCATTAAAGGAAAATAAAAACGACAAAAAAAGAACATTTATTTGAGTTTATTTTAATCAATTTTAAATAACGCCTGAAATAACACGTCCAAAATCAGCACACCCATCACAGAAATACTTAACACCTGTTTCTAAGATGGCCTGGAGCTCTGTTCAGTAATAAAAAAGGACTGGCGATTCCTGCTCGCACCGTTGCGTTCGCATTGTGTTGCCGCTCGTAGTGTCGATGCAACTCCCAAACGTGATAATGGCAGCTGAGCCAACAAGCTCTAGCCACCATCAGACACTCATCTTCTACACTAATATATTGCATTCATTGTTTGGATGCGTTTCAGTCCTTTCCACTTCCTAACGCTGTTCTCTGTCGTTAATGCAGTGCCTGGCCCTGCAACAGGCATCCTACCCTGGAGGTTGGTGGCCGCAGCGCAGTGGTTGCACAAAGGTATTCATACTTTAGTTTTCCCCGTTAATTCGTCTCAACACGAATTTTCTTAACCGTTACCGTCGTCTTCTCAATCAGAACCATCTCCGATCGCCTTTGATTTAAAGGTGGCCGCACGGTGCTGCTTCGTGGGAGATTTACATACCGGTCCGCTTAAAGGCAATTATGCGCTTCGGGTGCCTCGATTCAGTTTAGATAATGGGAATTCTGCGGCGCATTGCAGGGAGCTTGCCGCCAAAAGCGTCGGATCCGCTTGAGGTCGCAGGGGAAGGAACGGATCCCGCCCCAGATAACGCAGACAACAGTGACATCGCTGCCAAGGCAGGTGGAACTGGTGTTTCTAAGTGGTACAATGGAAAAAGGGCTCGAGTGATCAAGGCTATAATTGCTGCGGTTGCAGTGATAGTGGTGTGCGGGGCTCGTTACATTATTTCAGGAAGGTTCCCACCGTACCTGAAGAGTTCACAACTGCTACTAGACGATGCTTCACGCCTACCACTGGACGATGTGAGCATGCAGAAGTACATGATTGACTTCAATGAAGCAGTGGAGGAGATGGAAGAGGCTTTATCCTCTGGATCGCCCATGTGGCAGGCCTTTCAACTACACTTCACACCGTCGCATGAGGATAGTCAGCATCTCCCGGGAGACCCTCTGGATATTATCAGAGACCACGTTGCCGAGATGCAAAAGTGCGAAATTCCATCTGCTTCTTCTTTGCAGGCGCGGTGGGACTTTGCCCAACACCTGCAGCTATTACGCAGCATTTGCCGCACAGTGGCTCTTCGCTTCAAGGAGTTGGAATTGTTCGAGACTGTGAAGCGGGAATTCCGCGCGGCGAATCCTTTTCTTGTTTCTGGCGGCGACGAGGATTATAGTGACAGTGACGCTCCTATAGACTTTGAACAAGCAACAAAATACGACTGGGCAGCTTCTACCTTTCTGAAATCCTTCGGGCTGTTTGGGGGTGGTAGAAGACGAGTAAATGTAACCTTAGCTAACAAACTTAGAGGGGCGTTGGATATTGAGAAGATATTTAACGACGCCAACTGGAACACGCGACATCATTTCATGGAGTTTCTTCAACCGTTTGAAAGAGACGGCGCTTTCAACCCCGCTAATGCCCCTGCCGAACACCAGATTCCATATACTGGTGAGCCATTTCGAACAGGAGCTTTTGCCCAAGCAGCTGCGCAGATATTCCGTGAATCCGATGCCAATACGAATTACGCATTCATACGAAAGCTGAACCAAATTGCAGATAATTGGACGAACGAAGAAGTAGTGGCAGCTGCAGAGCAACAAGAGAAGGAAAACGCGGACAATGCGCAAGACAGGCTGAAGACTAAGAGGGAACTTATGCGACGGTTGTTAAGGCAAGGCATACAGAAGGATGACCTGGTGATGATCGCATTGTTCCTTTTATAGTCTATGAACTGATTTTATTGTGCGTTGTGCCGAGTGACACCACTTTTCGTGCGGCAGGGATCCGCATCTGTGTTGTCCGGCCTCGTTACAGTTGCTGCTGTAGCTAGACAGTTAAACGCAGTCTTGTATTTAACCCGTTTTTCTGTGGGATCCCTTCCTAGAAGGAAGGGTGCACCCAACTATCAGTGAGGCGAGATTTGGTCTTGTCCTCATGACCAGCCAGACTGCAGAACGGGAATAAAAACCGGTTTCCGAGGAATGCGAACCCACCGCTGCTTTTGCATAGCGCTTGTCAGCGGGAATTTGTTTGCGCTGAGTCGGACTGTACTACGGATGATCCAGCGAATCCAGGCGCAGGCATAGCAGCGTAGAATGCTGTAGTACTGCGCAGTTTGTATTTGGAAACTAAACGTCCGAAAATTTTATTCACTGTGGAGACATCCA